TTGTCATCGAGTAAGTACCTGATGATGACAAAACCTTGTCGAAACGTTGTACATTTGCTGTTATGTTAAACTTATATTAAAGTTTTTCTTCATTACCCATTCAAGCCGTCTCCAGCCATTATATACCTTGATCTAATACGTCCGGACAATTTATATATATATGAGATTTGTGCCTTTGTTGTGATATTACAAGGGTCAGTCAAAATATTTCCCAGAACTAAAATGTTGGACCTACCATTCCTCTATATACCGTATCTTATTTCCTATAAAGTTTTTCATTGTGAATAAGTCTATTTATGCATAAACTGACTGAGTTATGTTCGATGACGAGAAACCCACTTTGAGACTAATAATGGATGTAGAACGGCTGTATATATATATATATGTCAGTGTAAATTACATGTACATGATGATGACAAAACCTTGTCGAAACGATGTACATTTGCTGTTATGTTAATCTTATATTAAAGTTTTTCTTCATTACCCATTCAAGCCGTCTCCAACCATTATTTGACTGAGTTATGTATTGTAAAATGAGGTGACAATTTAGTAAGCTCCAGTGCATCATTATCACAAAGAAATCTAAAGTTCGTGCTATTTTAAATGTCTAGCCGTCTTACTCTGAAATATATATGTTGTAGTTTATGCCCCTTACCCTGCCTTGAATACCATTCTCTTTCGAAATCTTCTGTTTTCTAAAGATATTATCAAATAAGTTGGAAGGAGGGAGACATATCGTATTCGCCTTTCTTGTTGCAATGTAATATATTGTTACGTCTCCGTTTGTTAATTAACTTTCCGTAACTTCGTTCCGACAAAACTTTAGCGACACAAGTCCTTACTTAATAAAACTGGTTTATTCTTTCCGAATACAACTTTACGATACACTTATTTTCAACAGTCGCGCTATAACAAACGCTAGTTCACATCTCACGAGATCTACTTCAACAATAGGTCTCTCTCTGACTGCAGTTCAATTACTTATTACCTACACAAACATTGTTGTCCCGTCACGTTGTCACCCTCTTATATATACCAGACTATCCTATATCTAGTAATCTCCCGACAATTCACGAAAGTACAAGATATTTCCAGAAAGCAGGGGCATGACACTAGTCACGTGACCTTGCTGACGCAACAATATCAAATATTACTTTAAAATGTCTGGCTGCGTCAGTGTTCTACATCGATAAATATTTATGTCTTATAACAACACACATTTTTATAAGCTTATATTAATAACTGTAGCTATTTGGCGAGTCAGTGTTAAGTTTATGGACTTATAACACTAAAATCCAGGCTCGATTCCTCG